GCAGTGTAGAGTGGGACAATCACTCCCCTAGACCAGCTAGCAATGCCGTGCTTGATGCACCCCAGGATACGGTTGGCCTTCCTGGCAGCCTGGGCACACTGTTGACTCATGTTCAACTTGCTGTTGACGAAGACCGCCAAGTGTCTTTCAGCATGGCTGGTCTCCAGTGTCTGATCGTCCAGTCTGTATGTATAGCCAGGGTTGCCCCTTCCCAGGTGCAGAATCTAACACTGGCCCTTGTTAAACCTCATGTGGTTGGTGATTGCCCAGTTAGGGCAAGTTTGTTAGGCCCTTCCTTTCATGAACCTGTGTTGGCTGTGACTAATGATTGCATTGTCCTTCAGGTGTTTTTCAGTAACTCCCAGCATAATTTTCTCCATAATTTTACCAGGCACTGAAGTGAGACCGAGAGGCCTGTAGTTACCAGGGTTGTCTTTCTTGCCCTTCTTGAAGATTGGAACAACATTTGCCAGCTTCCAATCAGCTGGGACCTCTCCAGATTCCCAAGACTGTTGAAAAATAGTAGAGAGAGGTCTCACGATGACATCAGCCAGCTCTCTGAACACCCTGGGATGAATCCCATCTGGCCCCATGGACTTGTATGCATCCAGGTGGAGCAGCAAGTCCTGCACAATTTCGGGGTCAGCTGGGAGTTTATTGTTACTGCAGTCATGGTCCTCCAACTCGGGGCAACACTGTCATTAGTGTTGAAGAGGAGAAGGCGGCATTAAACGTCTCTGCTTTATCTATGTCCCCGTTAGTAAGGTGACCATTCTGGTTGAGTAACGAGCCAATATTCTCTCTGGTCCTCCTTTTGTTATTAACATACTTAAAGTACTTAAATTTTATGGTAGGCTAATTCAAAGTGTAAAAAAAAATAAAATCTGTAAAACTATAGTGACATTAACAAGTACTTATAATTTTAAATGAGGACAGATTTTCTTTGTTTTATTCATTTTTTAAATTCATGTTTGAACTTCTTGACTGAGAGCTGGGCCGAATACCTGTACATTCCTGACTTAAGTAGCAAGTCAAAGCTTCTCAAATTAGAACAAATAAAATTCAAATACCCGAGACTCAGTATATATGCTCTTTACTAATATGGAAATAGTTCTTTGTTCTGGTTATACATCAGTAGCAACAACATGGAAATTCCTTGCAAATAATAAAATATTTGGTGTTGTAACTGAATTAGACGTATGACAGTCATCAAGGGCAAAAGCCTCTTTAGATACAGTAGTACCTTATTGTATTATTTGCCCTACTGTGCCCTAATGTTTAAGTTTCTGAACTAAAAAAATGTAACGTGTAGCCCTGTCTCAAGTACCTAAATTCCCTGTTCAGTTCATTGCATAACTGCTAGGAGTGGAATGCAGAAAAGGCTTTGTGCTGAGTAGGGAAGAGCTCTTGTGCTAACCAGAAGGAAATACTGCAGAGCGAGCCATGTGTCTTAAACTGTGCCTCTCTTTGGCCTGTATATGAGAACCAAATTCACAGCTCAATTCTGCTGTTTTTACATGCCAAATATGATGCTTACACCATGAATGAAGATACCCATGAGGCAATACTGGAAGCAGAAGCACGTGCAGTGAGGTCTGTGTAAGCCAGCTTGGGTTTGGCAGCTGTGTCAGTGTATGCCAGCTAGAGAATGTCACCAGAAGTACTGCAGATGCAAGGTTTCCTGTGTTAGGGACTCAGCTCTCTTGTGCCATGTGAAAACAATGCAGGGCATACACAGGCCAATATTTTCCTTTCACCCAGTCTGGAAGTGGCCTTAGGAGCTACTGTAGTTCTTGTGTCACTGAGGTGGTAAACTCAGCCTTGGTTTATGTCACATCGTCTGGTTGAGGGAGCCTGTGTGTGTGTGCTAAGACAGAGAAAGGTCCTGCAGAAAGGTGAGCCAGTACTGAGCGAAACAAACCACCAGTTTCTGTAGCTTAGGATTTTAATGTTTCAACTCAGTGCTACACCTTAGCAAATATGCTCTAGTTCATGGCTTTTGGAACTCAGCTGCTCCTCGTAGGAAGGTTTTCTGTGCAGGAGAAACTTCGGGCTTTAGTAAGTACTAGAGCTCTGCATTCTGCTCTTAGAGCACAGAGCAGCTACGGACTGAGTTTTCCTTTTTTGGAATAAAAGCTGATTATTTTTAATCAAATGAATGTTAGTTTTCCTGTTACTGCACACACAGTTAGAATTTCTCTCCCTCGCATTATCAGAAGTCAGCCATAAATCTTATTCTTTGAAGTAAATTTCACATTTTCAGTCAGTGTTAGGTATAGTTGGAGTGGACTTGCTGCAGGAGACATCTTTCTGCACTCAATTTGTGATTTCTCATTGAAATGGAGGGATGACAGGTGAAAAACTCAGCCTGCCACACTGGACTTAGTTCTGGGGTGATGTAAAGCAAAACTGTGATTGTTTGAAAAATAACGTTTGTTAAATTTTAGGTGCCACGAAGCTTTCAGTTACTGGAGATGTTAATTGGGGTTTTTAAAACATAATGTGTTTGGATTTATTAGAAATTAGATCTTCCTGAATCTTCTGGAAGAGCTAGGTCTCAGAGCAGGAGATGTGGTTCAGTATTGTCACAAAAATACAGATACAGACATTCATGAATTTTTATTGTGCAATAAACCAGATGTCAAGAAAACAATGTGTTTCAGAGCTCTTTTAAGAATATAATTTTGAGTATTTCAATTTTATTTAGTATTGCAGTTTGTTTTTTTGTTCCTCAGAGTGCATGTTTCACTTATGAGATTTGGTTACGCAAGTCACATTGTATTCTCTTGGCCTGTTTTATGCTTAAAATGTAACATGACATGATTGTTAAAAACTTTAATAAAATATTGGATCGGCCTAAGAAATCCTCTTTTGCTAACTGGTTTTCTGGAATGGTAACTGTTTCAGGAAAAAAAAAATCAAATAGACTTAACTAATTACAGAAAAGCTGTGGCTAACATGCTGCTCTCTCTTTTCCCATGACCTTCTAATTTTATAATTTTGTGTGTGTGACCAATTAAAATATGACGGCAGAGCAAAATAACATAGTCCAAATGCCCAGCAGCTGGAATATAGAGGTAATAATCCATGTCCTGGAATCATAGGAAATAGAGAGGGGACAAGTTGCAGATAATTTAGTCTCTACTTCTGCTTATGCACAGCTTTTCCTCAAAGTACATCTGTTAAATTTACTCCTCATTTAATACATTGACGTATTACTAAAATTATAGTGGCATTTAGTTTTGTCAGTTTGTCTTTTCTATTACAGGAGTGAAATTGATCCTTCCTAGGACAGAAAGATGGACTAGATGAGCTCTTGAGATCCTTTACAGACAGTTTTGTGATTTCATAGGTCTTGCTGATCTTCCTGTACAATGTTTTGCCTTTGGATGATAGTGTTTTGCTCCATGTAGTGTTTTATATAGATATCTCTTCCCATGTATTAGAAAGAAAAAGTACTTTTCAGATTTTGAGAAAGTGATTTGGAAGTTTCTCTTGTCATATGAATATCTTTGGTTCTTTTCTTTCCTTTCTCCCTACCCAGGAAGCTTATGCATATCAGAACTCTTCAGGCATGAAGAATTGGTTCACATCTCTGTTCTCATTCTGTAAAAGAATGAACTAACAAGCTGTATTTTAGAGCTCATAAAGTACTCAACATGCTGACTGCATTCCTCTTTGGTTTATTGTTCAGTAGTGTGAAAGAGAGAGGGAGGACAGCTAATTCTTTCTCTTCTGAGAGGAAAAAAACTTTAGGCTCACTGTTGGTGTCTCATTCTGCCAGTCTGCGCTTATCTGAGGTCAGAAGTCTTGTAAGAAGGGGGAGGACTCATATGTATGAGGGCATGATTTGCCAACGGAAGATAAATGAAATCAACAATAACAGTGCTCTTATTTTATGTGATGAGACCTATTTTTTTTTCTGTGTCAAAGCTCAGTAGACCTCAGAAGATCTTCTGTGGCTTCAGTGAAGACTGTTGGAATTCACCATTGGGAGGGGTTTTCTAGGTATACTGATTTAAGATGTTGGATAATTCCAAATGTTTTGGAACAGCATAAATTATTCTTTTTTGTTATTCTTAAAAATAGATAATAAACAGTATAGTGTAAGGACACTGTTCTCAGTGGTTAGCATTGTTAGGGAGCGTGCTTTTTTGGGCTGTAACTTGATAAGCAATGTTCTATCTTTGCATCCTTTTCTTCATTATTGTATGATCATCTCTTGTCCCAATTGCCTTTAGTGTCGTATGAAGTTCATGTGAGCATTTGGTAAGTGACTGATGAGCTGTGGATAACTTTCTGGTATCAAAATGACTAAAACCAGCTAGGAGCATTCTGTTTCGGAGATGCCATAGATCTTTAATACTTTATATTGATGAAAAGATCAAAGATATATGGTTTCAAATCTAAGCAAAACCAAAACTGAAATATAAGCATTTAAATATCTGTTCTGGGACATAGAGCTGCTGGATATTGAATTACTGGTAAGTGTGATTGCTCAGCATTTCACAGGGTGAATTCAACACAGAGGAACAAGCTCCATTTTCTGAAACTTTTTTCTGCTGCTTATTTCTGAGCAGTTTAGCCAAATTGAAATCTGTGAAAGCAATAGATATTGTGGATTGCCAAGATCTCTCAGGTGTGTCTCCTGCTGGTTGATATCTGAATAGGCCTAGAACTGTCCTCAGAAACCACCTAATATGTATGTAAGAGAAAGTCTGAAAAACAAACATCTCAGATCTATACATCTATTTGCAGTAGATGCTTATGAAGGACTTCAGATTTTTTTTTTTTTTTTTGTAAATTAGCCCTTAGTGTGTACTTATACAGTCTTCCATTGCTATATTAATGTTAAGTCTCATACAGACTAAGTAGCATGACTTACCCATTATGAGATATATAAAAGATAAATAGAAAATATATTTTAAAGCTCTTTTTTTTTGACTGCAGCTGATATGTATTAATAACATTTAGGCCTCTCTCTGTGTTTTGTTCCACAGGCAGCAGGAGCAATTCGCCCTCTAGTTTCTACCGTTATTGCCTCTGCTGCAAATGGCTGTTTAGACCACTCATTGGAACGTGCCAGGTACAGAGCGAGTGAAATGCCTCAGGCTTTCTTGTTTGATATAATCTATGAAGCATACCAACAGGTAAGGCTTTGAGACTTTCGAAGACTTTTTTTATCATTTACTTTAGTTACAAAAAAAAGATAACTTTATTTCTCTTCTTTCAAATACAAAGATTCAGCACTTATTTCAAAGCACATCAAACTGCATGCATGTTACTTCTCTGTAGTCTTTTGATGAAAATGCTTTATCATTCTAATGTATTCGAGTTTTTGAATTATCAAACTGCCAAATACAAGAAGGGGTGAAGGGTCTAAACTATTGGAAAGAGACATTTGCTTTAGCTTTTATTGCGCATTAAATAGATTACTTAAATGGGTGGGTTAATGTGTTGTACATACTTTGATTAGTGGCTGAAAATAATATTTACTTAGTCTCTGTTGTAATTTTCTCTTCATTTTTTTCCTAATATATTGCTTTAACATCATCTTTATTTAAGAAAATAAAAATTGTGGGTACTGTATTAAACCCTGACTCTTCTGCCTTTATCCTTCTTGAAGACTGCTTTCATTTGCCCCACCCTGCATTCACAGTTTACTGGAAATACTCCAGGCTTTCGTCTCAGCATTCTACTTCCTTTTCATTCATCACCTTGTGGAAATTGCCTGTCCTCCAGGTATCTTTCAGACTGACTGGAAGCAGAGTATTTCGTCATTTGTCACATGGAAGGAATTATTTTTCACTCCAGTAATGCTGACAGTCATGCTTCCCATCAGTCTTTCATTTCTAGAGTAAACAAGCCCAAATTACTGATACCACCTTCAGAGAGCACATAGCTTAGAAGTCACCAACGACAGAACAAATGCGTGGAGAGGCAATGAAGATGAAACAGTCGCTTAATTGTTAAGTAATTGTTTTACTTTTAGAAACGCTGGCATAAATTCCACATCATACCCTTTATGCTTGATACTTGAAGATATTCTTAGATGCTGAAGATGAAGGGCTGTCCAAGATGAAGGGCTACTCAAGTGATTGGACTAGCTCTAACCTGTTTACTTCTGATGGGAAGCAGGGTGATGTTCTTTGTGTATGTGAAAACACACAGCTGAAACTTCTAAGTGAGGCTGTAGCTTGAATGTAGAGGACATACTCATGATAAAGGCAGCATATGTGTGCATAGGACACCTCTCAAGAGACAACAGCTACTGTTGGTTGTACAACTGTTTCTTTCTTGTTGATGCGTATTTCTTTTGGCAAATTGCACGTTTATGCGTTGTTTCTCCAAAAAACCCACCCCAAAACAACGCCCTATTTTTTTCCTACTGTGTTTGCTCTTAGTTTGCAGATACAGGAGAGCTGACAAATAAAAAGCTTTTGCCCTAAATGCCTTGCTCAAATAGCAACTTGCAGTCCCTATGCTCCTCTGAATAGTGTTCTCTTCTCACATATGCATTCCATCAGTCGTCTTTTTTGTATCCCTGCTCTTTCAAGAACAAGCCACCAAAGTTGTTAGCAAGCAACCAAGGCTATGCTTCCTTGTCCCCAGTTCCCTTTGCATTGGCTAAATTCTGGTCATTTAAATGCTCTGTGCCTTGGAGCTCTGGGAAGGATAACACTTTGCTGAATCTCTCAACTCATATTGTTTGCTAATTATTTATGTTTCAATGGTGCCTAGCTGTCCAAGTCAAGGATTAAGACCCTATTGTTCTGGGAACTGTACAAACAAATAAAAAAAGATAATCGTCCTGAAAAACTTAGTCAAGCTACTGTAGGACAGATTTTTGTAGGAATGGATGCAGGTTATGATGCTTCCTAAATATTAACATACCTGTCATTAGTTTCCACAACAACCTGGTAAAGTAGGTAAGTATCATGGTACAGTTGGGGAAAAAAAAAAAAGATAAAATAATTTTGTTACTCATGTTGCAAGTTGTTCACAAAGCTGGGAATGGAATGGAATTCATTTTGGCTGACTCGGCATGGGATCATTTTCCCACTCCTGTCTATTTTATACAGTTGTGACCTTTATGCAACAACAGTGTGGGGAAAAACAACAGTCAAACATGCATTCCTTAGAAGGAAACTGTCCATTTGAATTATTGCTTCAAGTAACATAGGCTTTTCAGTTACATTGTGGGTAATGTGGAATACTGCTTTTAAACTCTGTCTCTATTTAAATGCATTATCTGATGTGAGTAGGTAGAGAGTTTACTTCCAAATATGTTCTTTTTCATGAATGTAAGATCTCTGAGTATCTTGACCACTAAGTTGCAACATTCAATTCAAGCTCACTTCTCTGATCCTTACAGGTTTGCCATCTGTAGTCTTTTTTTTGCTCTTCTTGTCTGGTACCAATCTGGGCAGAGCAGACTCCTTCTCCTTTTATTACTGTTTTGAATGTATTTAGAACTAGAAAGGAAGAAGCTTATTAACACAATTAAAATATGTAAAAATACTTTGCTGTGATCTGTATCAAATTAAAAGTAATTTCCTTTGAAAACTTTTTTCCATTTCTTGCTTGATTAAAAATGATAGGAATGATTTGGGGAAAAATATGTGCCTTGTATATAAAACTAATTGAAGTAGGTATAACAAATGCCAAGGATTGGTTTACAATATTATCTTAAAATATATGTATACTACAGTCAATTCCCTTTACATTTGGTGCCAAAAATCCAGCACAGATTTTGAGGACATTCAGCTAGGTTGTTTGCATGTATTTCATTGTGATTCATCTCATTTTTGTGTGCTGGATCTCAATTTAGTTTTCATTCTTACTGTTGCCTAGAACAGAGATACATATTCCAAATGGATCTGCTTTGTTCAGATGTATGTTACTTTCTGATTTAACTGTGACAATGTCAAGATTTCTGACATTATAACTATTAACTTCTCAGCTTTATAGTTGTGCCATGAAACCTTTTAAATTTTGTTGCTCAAAAATTGCATGCCCTTCGTTGTCTTTGTAATGACTTTGAGAGCTCATTAAAACAAACATTCTTCATTGACTGCATATCTGCTATTTAAGCCCACTTTAACAGGGATTTTCAAAGGTTAAACCCAGAATTTTTGTTTTTTAATGTGATTTTTCTGACTTTGGGTTTTCCTTATTCAACCACTTTGTGGAAAAAAAAAAAAAAAAAAGAAAAAATGTTGGATGGGAAGTGACATCAAATTAGAGTCTGTTTGGTCCATTACCCAGAACCAGGCTTAAGTATTCCAGCCATTACCTCTGAAGTATGCTATGAAATAATTTCCATTATGTTTCTAATTTTTGCTTGTGTTGTGTGAGAGAATTAGGTTCTGCAAGAATGTATGCATTTTATGGTTTTCAAAAGGATTTCTTTTTCCACTAGTCACATCTCCTTTTACTAGGTGTATTACCTTGAAATCTTCTGTTCTTTGGGATGGTCCTCCTCTCACAATTACATAATATTTCTAGATCCTGATGTGGAAATTATTTCATCTTTCTACTCTGCTATTATAAGGTAGCCAAGGACTTCTGCTGGCAAAGTGGGGTTGGGTGATTTGTTTTTAATCCCCAGAGAAGTAAATAAATCTGAAATTGGAAGAGCAATAAAAAAAATGTTGGTGAGCTACTAGATACTTCTAGGTCTTCTAATGGTTAATTTTGAATAATTTTTTTTTTAACCCTACTGAAACAATAGTATAGATTTATGAAAATTCTTCCTTAAAAATAATCTCAGACTCTTTCAGTTAGCATCAATTTTAACATCAGTTAGTGGTGGAAGCAGCTTTTTTTGATATGGCTGTGTATATGCTTCAGAGGAAAAAAAAAGATGTTCAGATGTCCCATCTTTTTACTTTTTTACTGGGAGAATGCAAGCAGTTTGAGAACCATTGTTTCTTGGCAAAAGATGAATTTGGGAGTACTTTGTGTCTGCCTTCTTGTGATGCAGCAAATAAGTGGAGGTGCAACAGAGAAGGGAAAATTCTTCAGTATTCTTCTACCTGAAATGATAATTGCTCCAGTGTAGCAGGATCAAAAGACCACTGCTCAGGAAATAGCTACTCTGTCCACCCCAGCATAGTGCTACTGATTTTAACATTTTAATAAAGTTTCTGTTACGTTGTTATACGTTTTACTTTAACTCAGGATACTTCTTGGCCCCTGAATTGGACATCACATAAACCAGACTAAAACCATTTGAAGTCAATATTGAAATTAAGCAGCTGTTCAGAGCCCACAACAGCCAGTGAAGCTAAAATGATGTCTTGATCTTATAAGGCCTCAGTACTCTGACTTATGTGTGATTAGATAGAGCACTTAGCTATAATAAATCAATAGGCATAATGGGATTTTGGCAGATACAGGCACTTGCGCCTGTACTTAATGCTGCTTGACACTTTTTGTTGCAAGTCTCTGTGTTCAGTTGGTTATATGAAACATGGGAAAACAGCTGTTTTTTTCTATTTCAGTGAAGTATTCTGATGCCTCCACTTTGTAGTAGGACTTTGGAATTTGGCATTGGGAAGGTCCTGAGGTGAAAAGGATGAATTATACAGGCCTCCTTACATATATGCCTAAGTGTTACTGTGTCACTCATATATATGCCTCCTCATCTCATATTCTTATGAAGTACAGCACTGCTTTCATGCCCTTCAATTTGTTAAATTTATAAAAGTTACAATTTATAAAACTTACAAAAGTTAAAACTTTTATTTGTATGATGCATGCTTGACACAAGGTGGACAAGTGACAGATGCAAACAACTGCATGAGGAGAAAGAACCGTATTTATAATGTGTGTGGTATCTCACAGGCAGGAGGCTTTACCTTAGCCAGGGGTTTTCCTTGGGATGTTGGGTAAGAGGCCATATAAATGTGTTAAGGGGATAAACGTAATGTTGCATCAGTGCTCTTAGTTCTGATATGTCCTAAGTTGTGAGTTCTTGTTTCCTGCACAGTGTAATGAACCATAGCACTAACCTTCAGTAAATATTAGTAGTGGAGAAGTTAAACTTTTTAAAATAAAAAATACAAATCTCTAATAAGTAGTAAAACCTGTGGAAAAGTTGTAGAATTGCAGAACCCATGATTTACTTCAGTTCTAACCTACCTTCAACAAAAACAGCCAGTTGGATTTTTCTTTTTTAGGTTAATATCAGAATTAAATTCCTGATATTTGGAAATGCATGTTTCTTTTCTATTCTTATCAGCCCTAAGGGAAATCAGAAAAGTTTAAGTGTTAATTGAAAATCCACCCTTTCCAAAGATAGCAAATAAAGGATAAATTCCTCAGACCAGACTTGTTCATTTTTGCTTAAGGTAGTTTCATGTTTCTGTTCAGCTTTTTAAATTAAATAGGAACAAATGCGAAGTATGATCCTGTAAGCCTGGGAGGAGGAGGAGGCGGTAGCAGGGGAAGACTTCACTTACTAGAAGTCAAGTGTTCCCCTGGAGCAGTATCTTTTAAGGAATTAGAGTATCAGGAAGTCAGGTAGACTACCTTTTTCCTTTAATGACAGTAGGCTGAGACTGATTTCTCTAATACCTGTGTCTGACATATTGTGAAATGCACAGAGACCTCAGAGATCTTTTGTCTTTTAACACAAAGCATCTTGTTGTGTCATGTTACATGTGTACAAAGTAACACAACCACAATATGCAAAGGCTGAAATACCCAAACTTAACAAAGCATTGTGTATTTGAAATGTATCTGCCAAAGTAAGGAAGGTAGCAGGAACAATTAAAAAGCTTTGTCTGTCCTGATCTGGCAGAGAAACAACTGAAAATGTATGAGGAGCGATACGTGGAAGATCCCGGCTAGTTTCTGTGTCAGAGATGTAAACAAAAAGCCTAGGGAAGATGATATGATGGTTAGAGGGTTGCCAGCATGAATGCTGGGGATGCGATAGAATTGCTCACCAATGTGACCAGCCTGGTGGAGCTGAGGACCTTGTAAGACGGAAGAGCTACACGCTGCTGGAGGAAGGGTGGGACATGTTAGAAGGTTATTCTGCAGGAATCCTTCATATGTGGATTGCATGGCAAAGTCTGATCACTATGTAAAGTTAGAGTGATAGGCTGATAACAATCTTAATTTTTAAAAATAATTTTGATACA